TTGACCCTGCCCTTGATTAAACACAGTGGACCAACACCAGCAGCTGATATGGCACCCCTGACATGCAAAATTTGCTTTCATCCGAAAAAAGTACTTTGGACCACTGAGCAACAGTCCAGTGCTGCTTCTCTGTAGCCCAGGTCAGGTGCTTCTGCCGCTGTTTCTGGTTCAAAAGTGGCTTGACCTGGGGAATGCGGCACCTGTAGCCCATTTCCTGCACTTGCCTGTGCACGGTGGCTCTGGATGTTTCTACTCCAGACTCAGTCCACTGCTTCCGCAGGTCCCCCAAGGTCTGGAATCGGCCCTTATCCACAATCCTCCCCAGGGTCCGGTCACCTCTTCTCGTTGTGCAGCGTTTTCTGCCACACTTTTCCCTTTCCACAGACTTCCCACTGAGGTGCCTTGATACATGTAGTGAACTAAGCCTCAGGTCAAATCTGGCCTTGAGGGCCTTCCTGGGACAAAAACTGTATTTCATTGATTTGAGTCCAGAAACACAAGATTAAGTTCATCCAGAGACTTCCTAAGTGTCCTGCACTGATCAATTGAAAGAACACTCTCGTTTTTATTATCATTACTATTTTACAAATGTTTTGATAATCAAAGTGTGTTTAGTTCAAACCATTTTTAAATGTTGAAGTGAACTACTCATTTTAAATCAACTGTGAAACAGTTAATGATTTTTTTTAATCCTCATTCAAAGTAGAAATCAAGTTAGAATGTGTTACGGAGTAATTCATGCATTTTCTGATTTTCTGTCTGAAATGAGCAAGTTGTAATGTTGGTCCAAGGTTGGAGGCAAGAAGACAAGTTGTTGGAACGAACTGTCATGTTTTTATATCCTCTCAGACGTAAATAGAGAAGCTGGCACCTGTTTTCCCCCAACTCGCCTAAACATTTCTCTCGTCTGTCTCAAAACATCTTCTGTCCGTTCCAAAACAATTTTTCTGTTTTTCTGACTTTTAATAACCTCTTACATCACTAAAACACACCCCTGTCTGGTCGATCGACCAATCAGGAACTTCCCAAATGAACCGGAAATAGAACTCTTTAAATGTCGGCACTTCCTAGTTCGTGCAGTCGAGTGCGGTGGGAGAGCAGTTCAGTTCGCAGAGCAAACCGAACAGGAGAAGTGCTGGAGAGAACAGGAGTTCCAGACATGATCCGGAGTTCTTCCGAGTCTCGTGGGAATTATGCAATCTTCCACATCTGAGTGGAACTCTGACGGACTTACAACTCATGTGAGTCCACCCGGGAGGTGAACGTGTGTCGAACAAGTACCGTCACTACTTCGGACGATTCACAGCTGTTCCTACGGAGACGCTGAAAGGGTGCGTTAAATGGAACTCCGTACCAGTGGAGACATCTCCTACAGGTAAAGAGTCGATTTACATTACCTAAGTGTACCGAGGAGGAAGCTGAGATCTTAACGGAGAGTGCCGTTCTGATACCGACACATTTCCCTCATCCATCTTCTCTCTCAATTTTAACTCCTTCATCCCCTATCTTTAAACTCTTATATCTTGCCAGTGATCATCCAGATATTTTCAGAAATGTCTGTTGTAATGCTTGAAATAGGGAAATCGTGGCCGTATGGTTTCCTCCTTGTAAAGCTTGCTAATTAATTATGTTGGTGTTGAAATCAATTTGCCAAATTAATGTAAATGTTTGATGTTAAACTTTGATTCTGTTAATAAATGACCGCATTCATTTGATGGGTCAAAGAAAATTAACGTCTCACGTTACATTTTAATTTCAATGCACGATATTATTCAGTCCAGAAAAATGAATGAATCCGTTTAATTTATGGATAATATATCACAGATATATGTTCCTCTACATACAGCACTCTGGGAACAGCCTATTCGTTCAGCAATTTCTTTCTGTGTCTTACCCTCTTGCTTGAGGGTGTCAATGATGGCCTTCTGGACAGCAGTCAGGTTGGCAGTCTTACCCATGATTGCGGTTTTGAGTAATGAACAAGGCTGGGAGTTTTTAAAAGCCTCAGGAATCTTTTGCAGGTGTTTAGAGTTACGTCGTTGATTCAGATGGTTAGGTTAATAGCTTGTTTAGAGAACCTTTTCATGATATGCTAATATTTTGGGACAGGTATTTTGGGTTTTCAAGAGCTGTATGCCATAATCATCAGTATTAAAACAATTAAAGACCTGAAATATTTCAGTTGGTGTGCAATGAATCTGAAATATATGAAAGTTTCATTTTTATCATTACATTATGGAAAATAATTACCTTTATCACAATATGCTAATTTTTTGAGAAGGACCTGTAAGGTTGTGTTGCAGTTTCCCCTACCATTATACAAGCGGGGCGCCCCGCCCCGTCAACAGAACTGAAAGACCCGTCTACCAAAGGGGTGTTGAGGGGATCTGTTTTGGTGACCTTGGAATCGTGTCTGCTTTTTGCAGATGATGTGATCCTATTGGCTTCTAGGTCATGATCAACAACTTTCACTGGAGCGGTTCGCAGCAGAGTGTGACGCGGCCGGGATGAGGATCAGTTCCTCCAAATCCGAGGCCATGGTCTTGATCCGGAAAAGCGTAGACTGCCTGCTCCGGATCAGGGAGGAGGTCCTGCCCCAAGTGGAGGAGTTCAAGCATTTTGGGGTCTTGTTCACAAATGAGGGAAAATTGGAGCGAGAGATCGATAGGTGGATAGGTGCGGCGTCTGCAGTGAAGCGGGCGCTGTACCCGTCTGTCGTAGTGAAGAGAGGGCTGAGTCAAAAAGGCGAAGCTCTCAATTTACTGGTCGATCTACGTTCCTACCCTCATCTATGGTCATGAGCTTTGGGTTGTGACCGAAAGAATGAGACCTTGGACACAAGTGGCCAAAATGAGTTTTCTCCAGAGGGTGTCTGGGCTCTCCCTTAGAGATAGGGTGAGAAGCTCGGTCATCTGGGAGGGACTAAGAGTAGAGCCGCTGCTTCTCCACATTGAGAGGAGCCAGTTGAGGTGGCTCGGGCATCTGGTTAGGATGCCTTCTGGACGCCTCCCTGGTGAGGTGCTCTAGACACGTCCCACCGGGAGGAGGCCCAGAGGAAGACCAAGGACACGCTGAAGGGACTATTTTTTCTCGGCTGGCCTAGGAACGCTTTGGGATTCCCTGGGAAGAGCTGGTCCAATTGGCTGAGAAGAGGGAAGTCTGGGCCTCCCTACTTAAGCTGCAACCCCCCACGACCCAACCCCAGATAAGCGGAAGAAAATGAATGGATGATGAATCTTCAAACATCTGTTCTGTTACCACACCTGTCTTTAGCTGGTTCTTTCTTCTCGTTGTCCTCTTCCGTTGAATTTTCCTGGTCTGTGATGATGTCAGAGACTAGTTTGAGGGCTCGTTCTGTGATGGAAACTATTTTCTGAATACACTGGAGCTCATCTTCTGACGGGTAAATGGCAGCATGCTTGGTCATGACGTAGCGGTCATCAGAAGAGTCAGGACGACGTGGAGGCTAAAAAAACAAACAAACAAAAATTTAAATTGTTTGACTTTGA